ACTAATTTCTATTTTTTAAAATATTATTAGCATTATATAGTAGTATTATACGGAGTATATTAACACAATACTAATCAGTAAAATACAGGATGTAGGGCAAAAAATACAAATTCGTCATTTTTCCTCGGTCTTTTTAGTCCTCTTTTACCCAAATTGCTTGAGTAATGAGTTGTGTTGCTTTAAATCAAGTATGAGTTACTCCACCCGTGCATTGAACGAGAGTGAAGTACATACATAATAGCTTAGATGCAATTTTACAAAAATTGAAAAAAAAAGTGATAATGATCCAACTAACTGAAAGCATTATTAAATAAAATTTAAAATAAGATGTCATGGTAATGTCAAACTAATTGAAAGCATTAAATAAAATTTCAATTAAGTATACTACGTAGTTGCGCATGTGAATTCATAAAACTATCAAGAAAATTACGTGTTGAATTTTTTTATTGCATTATTTAACGGAAAAGGTGCAAATAAGCTCTTAAACTAACCGAAAAAGTGCAAATCACCCCTTTTATAGAAGACTCTGTCCAGCCGTCGCCATTTGGAGAGATTCCCGGTGGAATTTTTTGATTATTTTCTAAGCATCTTCTTCATTAAGTCTAGTTTACTAATACAAATTTTCAGTTAAAAATTCAATCGGGAAGGCAGTCAAATGATTTTATGAAATATACTGCGCTGTATAACTGTACAATAATCTTCAAACATTTATTTGACTGCCTTCTCGATTGCATTTTTAGCTGAAATTTGATATGGGTAAACTAGATTTAATGAAGAAGATGCTCAAAACAACTCATCAAAAAATTTCACCCCTAACCAACGCAAATGGCGACGACCAGACAGAGCCTCCTATAAAATGAGTGATTTAAACTTTTTCGGTTAGTTCGATGGCTTATTTGCCCCTTTTCCCATTATTTAACGAGTATTCAATTGATTTGGGTATATGTATTTGGATTAAGGGTTTTGTATAATTTTTTATATTAATATGGAGAATCAATTTAAATTTGGAATCAGAACCTCCAAATTCATTGGACGACCTTGTGTCTATAGGAATGGTCCATTTAGTGATCAAATGAACAATGAGTTATATATCCATATTTGAATTTTATGAACTCACATATATACTTTAATTTGTTTGATCTCCTGGAGCAGTAGATCAAGCCTGATGAGGTTTTGCCGTGCATCATTGAAAAATGTTATTTCAAGTAAAGTTTTATAATATGAAGTTATAATCGGAAAGGATTCTCCATATGATGAAATGAACACCTACAGTCTAGCATTTCTCATAAAATGTAAAATATCAGTGACCTGGGGGTCCAATATAATTTAATTCATGCAAAAATTATACTCCCTAACGTACAATTAATAATAATGGAGGAAAATTTAAGGAAAATAATTGGGTTTTTCAATGGAGAACATGCCACATTCTATATTGAACAAAATCTTTGACGACAGTTTTTTTCCTTCTACAATCATGCAAAACTGAATTGGTCTATTCTGCATTGGAAAATAATTGGGTTTTTCCTTCTACATTCTTTCTGTTGGCCTGTTACTGGAAAGCATTGCTCATTTAAATAAAACCATTGGTACAGGCAACTGGTTAATTACATTAATTGGAATCTTTAAATTCCTTTATCCATCTTCAATGCATGACTGAGAGATCAAAATAAAAATGACGAAAATGTTATATTGTTACACCAATTTGGGCACCATAAATTTTGTAATTGAATGACATGCACACAATTCAAAAGTAGTTGTCTATAGCGTTCACAGACAGACCGGATGCATGCGAAAACCAGTCTTTTTACTTAAATGTGTTGGCATGCATACAACTTTATGTGCTTTTTTCATTTAGCGGTGGACGTAGCTCAACTAGTAGATAGGGGGTGACACAGGCCCACAAGGGGTAAGTCTCGGATTCGAATCCAGACAACTGCGATGAGAGGTTTCTATGCTAAAAATGCATAGAGCCAGAGCCCCACTCTCTATTTGTCAGTTTGTGATTAAAGTCTAACTGTCCGGTCGGTGTGAGGGGTCTTAGAGATGAGGTGTCATCCTTTTTTATGTACTTTTTTCATGGCTGGGTATAACATCCAACACATAAGGTGTACGTATATTCATCCTAAAAAGTAAAAGTTATGATTGAGATTTGCTTAGAACATAGTGAAATTATATGGACCATATATTTATTGTCAAACAAAAAATAAGAAATTCATTTTTAGACAATCCAAAAATAAAAGTAAGACAACCAAAATGGAGCAGAATATAACTCAATGATAACATTTCCACTTTCTCTATTTTAAATGATAGTACTCTAGCTCTCTAGTTCATGTAGTAACCACTGTTATAAAAGGCGGGGGTGTGGCAAGGCGACAAGGCAAAGCCTCTAGTTTTTGAATCTTAGGCGGGAATAGGCAAAGTCTAGACGTCAAAAGACGTTTTAGATTTCTATTGATACAGTACTATTTTATGATGATATATGAAGAAAAAAGAATAAGTGCCCGAAAAATATATACTACTCTGTATTTTTAAATTTATAAAAAGTGCAAATACAAAATGATATATTATTGTTTATTCTATTCCTTATTAGATTCCATATATAACATATTTACGTTTGATTAATTTTTTCTTTAAAAAAACATCTAAATAAACTTATGCGCTTTCGCCCCTTTGATTGTCAACTTCTTAGTTGTCCGTCTTTTTCACGCATTACTAGCATGTGTGGTATTTTCCCGCCCTCTCACGCCTAGATGCGTCTAGCTTATTGTTTGTATATAAGAGTTACACATTTCGTGCGAGGCGCAGCTCACAAAAATGTTACTTTTAACTTTTTAGATACTTTTGAAAAAACTAAACGATTTTTATAGGATAGAACTGCATGAATATTACTCTCACACTTCTTAAAGACAAAAATATGACAATTTTTCATATTTCTAAAAATATGATTTAGTATTCTGCAGTGACATTGTAGACCCCCTCCCTCCTGGAACGCACATTGTGATTGTAGCCTTTGTGCAAATCTAGCAGCAATGGAGTGAAGGAGATGACCAACGCCGACGTCCTCGCAGCCAACGCACATCGCCGCCACCGTCTTCGTCCCATCCAGCTCCTGCTGCCTCTGTCTTTGTCCCAGCCATCCCATGTCGCCGTCATGGTCTTCGTAGGAGCCAATCTTCATCGCCGCCGATATATTTGTTGTACCTAGCAAACCCTTGCCATCTCCTAAAGGTCTGCACTCTTCTTCTTCTTCTTCTTCTTCTTCTTCTTCACCGGCCGAGGGTGTGGTGACGAACGTCAGATCTGTGACGACGACTACAGTGATATGGGGCTAGGGTTCGACAATGACCTTCTGATTTATTTTGCAGCAACCATAGATGATTTCCAATGACTAGACTTTGGTTACAGGGGCGGCGGCTTCGGTTTGTGAGGCGGCGGCAGAGATTGGGGCTTGAGCTGGAGAAATGGTGGTTGGTGTTGGGTTGATTGAGGCTGAATCGAGGTTGTGAGGGGTGGATTGAGGACTGGCCTGGTCGGGTCAGGAGATGAGGATGGTGGTTGGGGGCAGGGGAGGGGTGGGGCTAGAGGGTAGGGGCAGGGGCTTTCCCGCCTGGAACAAGGGTGGGCGGTGGTGGCAGTGGCATGGTGGAGGAATGCGGCAGTGGCGTGGTGGTGGTGTTGGAATGTGGTGGCGGCGTGATAACTGACCGAAAGGAGGTTGTCGGAGTAATTTGTGTGTCACTTGGGTAGGGCCGTCTATTGAGTTGTGCAAGAAGTGATTCTTCATTGGGCTCAATTTTTAAAAAACCAGTAGTATATATATGTATATTTAATAGAAATTCAACAGCCCAACTAAAAAATAGTACGAAGTAGTAATAAAAAAAGAACTCAAAGGTCCTTACTTACGTGTATCAAAGCTTGAAAGCCCAAATTTCCATCTCTCAAGCATCAAACCCACAAATCCCACAATAAATGAAAAGAAATTGGGCTTTACTACAATTCTATCGGCTTATAGTATTCCAGGGTTGGGAAACGGCTAAATTTTCACTCTACAGAGCTTCTGGCCAAGCTTTTCCAATCAATCAAGAAACACAATCGGTCATTTCACTTGTTTTCTTACAATCTTATGCTCTTCATCTTCATTCTTCTTACATGATTACCTATAGAACTTTTTTTTGTATGAGCTCTTCAACTTGTAAGAGTATATAGTATTATGATACTCCAAATTATTAAGATACAATATCAATGTATGATAACATTTTTCAAACGTTTTGTCCATGACTAGTCATTCCTCTATTCTTTTTTAAATGTAACATTGGACCTTTTCCACGATTCATGTGTTCTACTTTGACTCTATTTTATTTAACAATGTATTATAAATTAAATTTTAAAAAAATATTATTAAATTCCTCTCATTTTAAAGTCTCAAAACCTATTTTTTACTAATAAAATATGAAAGATATTAATGGTCAAACTTGTGCATTGACAAATGTCAAAAATGGACCTTTGCATTTAAAAAAGAACGGAGCAGGGACCTTTGTATTTAAACGTGAAAAGTGGACCGTTGATATTATATAAGGCCTATTTTTTTTAATCCGCACATGGACCTTATATACTTGAGATGACCCTGCACTTGGGATTGTCACCACGTAGATGTCACTGTGGCCAGTGGTGTTGGCTGGCGTCGGTGGTGGCCGGACGACGGAGATGTTACCGTGGCTAGAGGTTGGGCAGATATGTCACTACGGAGTTGTCACTGCAGATGTGTCACTGTGACTGGCGGAGGTGAGTGGCAGCGGCGGTGACTAGTGGTGGCAACAATGACATGGATGATGGCGCGGAGATGCGCAAGTGTCACTGTGCCCGACAATGGCGGAGATGTCACTATCAAGATTAGTTGTGAAAATGTCACTGCAGAAATATTAGTGTGCATTAGTCACACTTTTGTCCAAATATAAATGTGGCCATTTTTATGAAAATTAACTTCTAGTTTAGTAGCAGTAGCAAAACCTTTTTTTATACAGGTATTCACTCAAACTGCAGAAAGGCGGGCGAATTTCCGATAATTTTAATTCCCCTCCACGCCCAAACTCCAACGCATTTCGAACCGGCGATTCAAAATTTCGTCTAGCTAAAACTCCCGCTCTTTACTTATCAACTCAATATATAAAGAGTCCGTGTAGCGAGAGTGCGAGACCGAGATTGAAGGGTAGCTATTTGGCAACATCAATGGCAGTTTCAGGCGATTCTGTAGCAGAGCCGAAACAGAGCAAGCAAGTGAATCCAAGGCGGCGCAACAATTGCTCTTCAGTTCGTGTTGTTGGTAACCGGATCTATGATTCCCAGAATGGCAAGACCTGTCATCAGGTAACTGCTCTTTCCCTATGTACATCCTGCTTGAGTTCCATCAGTGTTCAAAGATCGGCTGATAACAAAAGGTGGCATGGGATATCCGTCAGCGGCGGGAGTCTTACATCCGCCAGACCAACCCCATTCATCCTGGTCTGATCCGAACATATCTTGTTGAATGAATTGATCCATTGTTGTATGCCCTACTTCTTTGTGTTAGTGAATTTTATCATACGCCTCCCTTCCTTTCCTTTCCGTCAGTCACTTTGTACCGAGTCCCTCTCCCGTTACAGGGTTTGCTTAGATTTTTTTTGCTCTTACTGCTGTTTATTATTTCTGAGTGTTGTTGGCATGATTGAGTTTAATACCAAGATGTTTGTTTGAGAGATTTCAAAAAGAACACATTTCAGTGGAAGTCGTGGAATGAATGAAAATAGAAAAGTCCAACGAAAGGGTTATACCTTAACTGCATCTTTTAGAGCAGAAGTTGAAACCTACAAAACGATATGTATCAATTATACCTGTCTTGCTGTTTCTAGACTACTAAACATTTGCAATTCTCTACGGAGTATAGTTTGAGGCCATAAGGTGAATTGCTTTCATTTGCACAGCGTTCTTGTGTTCTTAATAATTCTAAATTACCTCTTCAGGTCTAAGCATAACCGTCTAGGAAAGGAATTTAACTTGTCCATGATATCAATTGCATTGTTTGTCAACGTCAATTGTTTCTAACTAAAGGTTTAACTCCTTAAAGTAACCAATTGACTTTCTTACTTGTTTAGGCATACACTGACCTAGCTTGTTCAATATTAGATAGCTTCAGAGAAGTTTTTGTGCAATATATAGTTTCTCTACCCTATTTTATTTAATACACTTAACACTTCCCTTTTTTGTTGATCAGAACATGAACACTCCCAATTTGAACTTCACTAACTTCTACTTGACACTACATAATATTCACCGTATACTTTTATTTATTGTCTAACTTATGTTGATCATACTTCTTTTTATTACTTTTAGAAAGTTATAATAGTATAGTAACCACTACCTCATTCATTTTCCTAAAACCCCTTTCAAATCTGAATGTGTCACACATTTTGGAATGGAGGGAGCATATTTTAAAGGAACACCTTTTTATTATGTAAAGTTCACGATCTCTATTTAGAATTCATTAATCATATCCATAGAATTTTTACGTTGTTGATATGTTCCTCTTCATTTTGCAATCTACTCCATATCTAATATTTGAACATGATACTTTGAAGTGTCGACAAAAAACCATGGACTTTATGTTAGGATGCAAGAATCCAAAGGATTTTAAGCCATGTACCATTCGATTTTGCCACAAATGCCTTTCGAATAGGTGAGTTCGTTTTATTTTGTTTCACTTCTCTATTGTAACAGTTGTTTGTATGTTGTGTTCATCGAGAGAAACATTAGTTTCTATAATTGTGTGTTTCCTTATCAGGTATGGGGAGAAGGCAGAAGAAGTTGTAACTAAGGAGGACTGGCTCTGTCCAAAATGCAGAGGCATCTGCAACTGTAGTATGTGCATGTAAAACCACCCCCAATTCTTTAGTGTTTCTTAAAGGGTCTGTTTGAATTATGGCCATGACTATGGTCTATGGAAAGAAAATATGCAGGATAGAAGTGGGGAAACATAGAGGAAAATATTTTTTGTTGTTGAAGTCAAGTAGTCAATAAAGCAATTTAGTTGTATATTTTTTTCTCAGGTTTGTTCTTATTGCAAACTCATTTTACTTGTATGCGTGTATTATAACTACGACTAAAATGTCTGAATATATGCAAAGTATAAAATTTTAAAAAGTTTTGATCAAATCGGTTATCTATTCTTAATGTAAAATCAAACAAAGATAAATTATTTTTCATAGCATATGTTTTCTGTTTTTCCTTTCCCAGTTTCCCTACTATTTTCCATGTTCCCTATGGACCCTACCAGGCCTTGCTTGTTTCCAGATGCATGCTCATTAGTGAATGTAATGGCTCAGGAAAAGGAGAGGTTATCAGCCCACTGGCAATCTTGCACACACAACCAAAGCAACTGGATGTGCTGTTTCAGAAATGATAAATCTTAAAGCATCAGAAAACACTGATCATGTAACAACTTTCAACAGCAGAGAGGCTCTACCTAAAACGACCAGTGCGTCAAACAAGGTAGCTAACATTATCATCATTACCATGATAATTTAATTTTACAGAAACCATCTGACTGCATATGGTTCTCATATCGTAGTTTAAATTTGATAGGGGGCAGTGGTTCTAACCTCAACCAAGTGCGGGAAGGAAAACATATTTAGTGGCAGTATACGGTCAAATGATCAACCTTATACCTCATCATGTAATCCTACTGAACAGCAATCTAGAAAAGTGAAAAGAGAAGAGTGTATGGAGATAGAGTGCAATGGTGGGAATGATAATGTTTTATCAAAGGCTAATGATAATTCTACTAATAAAAGCAATTTTAAGAAAGCGAAGCAAGAGGGCTTATCAAACACAACGAATCTCTGTATTCCCCTACCTCAGGCGACTGGGCTGACAACTGTTGCTGGCAATGATTTACCTCCAGATGATGTCGGAGGTGCCTTGCAATTTTTAGAGTTTTGTGCTGCATTTGGAAAGGCAAGTGATTCCTGTTTTCCAAACTCCTTGCAATGGAGTAATTCAGATTGATATTAAAAACACGACTTTGCCCCATTATTTCTTTACAGAGTTACAGTGCATGCTCTTTAGCCTACCAAAAATATGAATTTTTTTTCTCCTTCACTGACCACTGACCTTTTTGGTCATCTAATCAAATAAAACATTGTTACCTGGATTCTTCGGTACTCTGACTGGATTTTGTATTCAATAGATTCTTGATTTAAGGAAAGGGCAGGCAGAAGCTGTACTTAGAGACTTGGTTGGAGGACGAATCTCACGACGTGGAAAAACTAATGTGACCGCTCAGTTTCTTACCCACTTGCTATCCTTCATAGAAGAGGAGCAGGAAGTGTATATCCAATTGCCTTAAAAGTCCAATTAGCAATTTCCTTTTCAGTTCTCCCCTTTCAACTGATATATGAAGATATGTTTAATCTATTCCAGGTCTTCAAATTTAGCTTGTACTGGTGGAAAAGGGATGTGGTTCAATTCTCTCAAAGAGCTCATTTCTGAATCCCCAAGTGTTTCAAAACATATGGGGTTGGATTCTTTAACTGATGGATTTGATGACTTAAGCCCCTCAAAAAAGCTAAAGCTATTGAACTTTGTGTGTGATGAAGTACTTGATACTGTGTAAGTCTCAGTTATAATTTCCTAAACATTTAAATTGAATTCAATTGATAAACTTGTGATGGGTGTAAGTGTGCAACTACAGAAGGATAAGGGATTGGATAGATGATCAGAATTTGAAATGTGCTGAGAAGACTAAGGAGGCAAAAGAAAAAGTTTCCGCTGCTAGAGAGGAGGTATATAGTAGTAATGGATAAAACAGCCTTAAAATAACATAGATTGCTGTTCAGAGAACCACTCTGCAATACTTTTGAAATTTTCTACAGGAAAAGCGATTGAAGCAGAAGATACAAGATGATGTTGCTGCAGCAATCATTGCAAAGAATGGTGCTCCTATTTCAGTATCAGAGCATGATGCTATTGTCATTCGAGCTAAGCGTGAAGCAGCTGAAGCTCATGCTGCTTTGTTACAGACAAAGGGTGATCTTTTAAAATGTATTCACACTATCCCTATTTAGTCTTTCTGTTTTGACTTTTCGAAGACAACAAAAGCAACATTTTACCTTTACTTTTTCAAAGTATACACTACTTATATTAAAAAGTACCTAGTATAGTTTTAAATATGTACTCCTTAATATTTAATAAATAATACACCCTCCCCCAAAATGATGGTCCTGTATTTCCTATTTGGGATGTCCCAAAATTATGGTCTTGTTTCCTTTTTTGGTAAGGAAATTAAAGTAGATATATATAGCTATATTAAAACAAATTGGTCAATATGATTTTTATATCAAAGAATAAGACTGTTACTGTATTGGAAGTCATGTTTCACAAGCTGCAACCTTTTAGTTTTAGTAAAGGTATCAAAATGGTTGAAAATCATCAATGGGAGTTCTATATCGAAATTTATTTGTTGGTTTAACTTAATTTAGCATACTTAACTAACTGGTTGGGGACATTATTGGAAAATGGAAGGTAAATACATTAACTATAATGAAACTTTTTTTTTTTTTGTTCAAATAGGCTCACTTTTAAACAAAAAAAAAGTTTTCAACAAGGACTGCGTTTTTGGAACTAATTTTTTTGAGAACTTAATGGTCAATATTTCCTTCACTGTCTAGTAACTATGGCATTCGGTCATTTATTTTTATAAATGTGTTATTTCCTTTGTACATAGGTAGCCAAAGATCAGATGCAGTTCGAACGGAGCCCATCTTTCTGGACACCAACGGCCAGATGTTTTGGAGACTGAAATGCTATTCTAACAAATCCAAAATACTACTTCAAGGTCAGTTCTATTGCAAGTATACTTCGTATCTTCTTCTTGAACTGAGATAAGGATTTCAACCATTTTACCATCTCCTATTGATGTGCAGAGCTAGGAACCGATGATATCACCTCTGATGAAAAATGGTTTGCTTTTGATGAAGCTCATCAAGAAACAGTTGATACGTGTATCAATTCTAGGTACCCTAAAAGCAATTTCTGTATCTAAGTTTGAGATTAAAAAAACGTTTTTCAATTATTTTTTTAATTTCAGGCGAAAAAGGTTAATGGCTCCAGTGGGTTTAGTCCATTTGGAATAATCAAGGTGAATGAGTGAGGGAAATTTTATGGAACCCTATATGACTCCACTATGGAGTTATCACATGTGTCATCATCACAACCATTCATTTATGAAGTAGAGCCCTCCATTAAAATTTCACTATAAAAATGAATGGTTGTTTTGAGATCACATGAGCTATGACTCAATAGTGGAGTCATATAGGACTCCATAAAAAATGTGATGAGGGACTGAGGTCACTGTTGTAATAATTCTCAGGAGTCGGTAGACATGTAGAACTTCAAGTACCATAACTTTATTTTTTTGCAACCACAATATATGGTTATTTTGTGGCAGTGTTTTGGTTTCTCCTGCCTGTATCAAGGAAGACCCTGAATGATAAATGCTGTAACTTTACAGTTATTAAACACCATGGTCCATGGACCGTGGCATTTTTGACTTGATGTTCTTCATGCGTTGCAAGCTTGCAAATTGCAATACGCGCATATGCACATGATGGCTTAATTTTTACTCAATATTGTAATATTACATTTAAAAGTTAAAACCATTCAATACGGTTAGGTAATTTAAAAGCGATTTCTTTTATTGCTTCAATTCAATAAAATTTTATTAAGGCGCAAGCTAATGCCAAAAGTCTTTCCTAACCATAGCATTCCTAGGGTTGGGCATTTCGATTTTGACCAATTAAAATTGAACAATATGCCATTTTGGTTTAAAAAGTAAAAAGTATAAAACCGAAATGCTTACCCCTAATTTAACAAAAAAGGAAAACTTCAATTTATCTTTAAAAAGAATAAAATTGAAATGCCTATTGCTAATAATTACCCTTTCTTGTAAAGAGGAGATTCACTCTTAGATGTTTTTACTTGGATTGTAATTTGTTGATTTGATCTAAATTGTTCTTATTTGGTCAATGTCTGGTTTGTGAGTATTTTATATTTTATAACGCAAATTTGGTCAAGTCTGTTTAAGTCTGGTTTATATGAGATTGAAAACATTTCAAGTAAAAACATCTTTATCCCTCTTTCAATAGTCATTGCTATCTTCCTCCTGGAGCTCTTTGCTCGGTCATTAATGGCTGCTAGACTTGTAAAAGTAGCTCAAGTGGTAACTTCATAAATTAAGGACTTCCTTTGAAGTCTTCAATTTGAAGATGGCTTAGTAAAAAAGTTCATGATTTTCCTTTATTGATTTCCTTGTAAACACACATGTTGACTTTGCATTCTTGATTTTTGACCAAGAATATTGAGCTGAATTTTCATAAACAATAGGAATAGAATTAATGACCCCTATATTACTAATAGGCTTTTGAATTCCTAAAATATAACCTTTTTTTCAATTTCCCCCAAAGTGACTCAACCTTTAGTGTACCCTTAGTTGCCAAACATTTCGTTCCTTCATTTCGCAAGACAAATTCGTTGCTTCCCTCTTATCAGCTAATTGCTCCGCCGGACAATAGCCAAAACCGACACACATCCTCCAAAGCCTGATGTAGCCCCCATCACAGCTAGCGCAATCCATGATTTCACCCCGGTAAGTCGTCGTCCTCATCACATTTTTTATTCTGGCGAACACACCGGAGTTCCTTCTCGCTATGGCGAGCGATGGCAAATTCTACTGAATTCTATAAGCGACATCGAGCGATGGACAAGGCTAGTCGTGACCGGATCTGAGGTTGGTTGCGAAGTACTGGCATGGGCCTGGGGCAGGGGAGGGGTTGGGACAAGGTCTGTGACTGGGGCTGCGGCAGTACATGGTGTGTGGTGGATTGAGGGCGGGGTGGAGGGGTGCGGCTGTGGTAGGGGTGTGGTGTGGTGGTGGGATGTCATTGTTGCAGGACCAGGGTGTGGTCTTGTTAACCAGGTTGGGAAGGGGAGCCGAGGAGGGTGGTGGTCAGGTTGGGACAGGGGAAGGATTGCATCGGGGCTGGGCTGGGGTTTGTGAGGGGGCTGGGGAGGGCAATGGTTGTGCGGCGGGAGTTTCCGGAGGATCCGGTGGCGGCCATTGTGGTCAAATGGCAGTGGTGGCAGGAAGAGGCAAGGCGAAGTTCAGTGCATCTGGCGCCAGTGATGTCTAAAGTGACACAGGTGGTGGCTAAAGTGACACGGGCGGTGACTAAAGTGACACGGGCGGTGGCTACAGTGACACAGGCGGTGGCTACAGTGACACGAACGGTGGCTACAGTGACCCGGGCGATGGTTGCAGTGACACGGGCGGGGGCTACAGTGACACAGGTAGCGGTTGTAATGACATGGGTGGTGGTTGTAGTTACAAAAAATGAACATGCAGTGACATAAAATTTTTCAGTGACATCATGTTTTCTAATTGCACATATATGACCTTGATCACTTTTTTGCCCCTTTTTAAAAGTGGTCACTTTTTGGGTAATTGGTTCAAAATTAGTAATATCCAAGTAAAAACCCTGTAGGAATAATAGAGCATGAAGCCATGAATGTCTAATACGGAGTACTACATAAATCTACTCTAACTTTAAAAATATTAATGCTACATAGTACATAAAACAAGTGCATTGCTACATTGACAGTCATCTTGTAGTAGTTTTCCAATAAATCAAGTGTAAACAGTTAGCATGGCAAAAGAAGAAAAATCAACTTGGATACAATGATACGATCATAACTAATTAGCAACTTTTGAAAAAAAAAACTTGAAAGCTAACTTGAAATGATGAGTATATGAACTGATACAAAGTGGAGGCATATTTCCCAAACAAAGTTCTTCACAAGTTTTCTTTTCCTATATACATGCTAAGTTATACATGCTATAATATAAGCATATACAGGCATACAGCTATCAAAGCTTTCCCAGTTGCACTGTTGGAGAGACTTGGAGGATGTACTGACATGAGTACATGACCGCTTACAAATTACAATGTAGTGTTGGAAATTAGTCGGACCTCGTATAAGTTTTTGTCTCCCTCAACTGCACCCATGCATGAAGAGTGCTATGAGAATTATAGACAATAAAACTCCCTAACTGCCTGATGCTTTATAAGTGTGAATATATATCAAAAGTAAATTATTCCCATTATGAAGAGATTTATTGTGAAGCATAAACCCTAGATTAAAGAAGAAAACGTGGAGTATCTGCTCTTTGAAGGTGCCCATAAATTGGGGATTCAATGGAGTAAATCGTATTTAGGTCAGTGCCAATTAATAATAATTCTCTTAGTCCTACAGCCATACCTATTTTACCACTTGGATAACATTTAGGTATAAAAGAGGTTGTTTTAGTCATGAAAAATAAGAGGGGAAAAAAATGAAAGGAAAAATTATAAGCTTTACCAATTTCAGCTGAAACCCCTGGACCAAAGAAGGAAGCAAATTTTTCCTATCAAATGAAAATGAAAGGCGAGCTAAATAACAAATATAATGAGAATCTACTGAACAGTTAACTCCGAATTGAGGATTTAATACTCCGTATATAACTTCAGGAGGGGTCTGAATTCACCTGTCGTTTTTCAAAATCTGATAACCGCAAAGCTTTGGCCTCAAACACCAAAACTAGACAGTATTTCCCATCCTCAGTAACCTAAAAGCACACAGGAATCCCAGAAAGTCAATAATGACTAATGAGATGACAAAAAAAATCTATTCAAAAAAAGTTCGATAAACTTCAAAATGAAGCATGAACTATAGCTATATTGCAGTTGTCAAGGACTATGATATATATGCATGCAATATTCCAATATAATGAACTGCTTAATGTTTCCTAAGAGTGACCTCTGTTAATAAGCAAAGAAACATGAATAAGTAGTAGTAGAAACTGATAATCAAAATAAATAGCTGGGCAATCCAGTGAGCTTACCTCTTCACGAATCATTTGCAAAATGGGAGCACTCCTTCTCGAGATTCCTCCACCCTAGTTTATTTAGAGAATTAGAAAAAACATACACAATCAAAGTGAAAGAAATCAAAGAATCACCCAATACAACCTCTATCCCATTTGTAATTAAGAAGCAAAAAATGAAGACTCGCTTTGACCAGTAAACATTAACTAGGACAATTAAAATGGAGGGAGAGTGAGTACAGAATGATACATCGAGTAAACGTAGTACTCCCTCCATCCCATTTTACCTGTCTTACATTCCTTTTTGGATTCTCCCAAAATAATTGTCACATTTCCTTTTTTTGGAAAGAAATGTGGTCCACAACATTTCACTTTATCATACTCAAATTTTAACCACAACTTTTACTTTTTCAACCACTTTATTAATTATTGTGCCAAACCAAAAGAAGACCCATCAAATGGGACAGAGGTAGTAATTTTTATACTCTTGAAAATTAAATTCATATAAAGCTTCTTAAATAAATAATTTACTAGAAGACTCTTGTTTTGCAGGTAAAGAAATACAGTACCTGACCATATTGGAAAATCCGTTTCAATGCCTCTTCCAAATGCTGCTCATCTCCATAACGGTATCTTATCACATCACTCCTGACCTAAACTAAATTTAACAGTTTTGCTTCAAATGCATGCTCTATACGGAAAATCATCGACTTTGCCAGTTTACCTGCTTTAGAATTGGAGTGGCACATGTTTCTCTTAGCACTTCAGCATCTGAGTAGGTGACACATGGTACAGGTTTTAGCTCTGCATACTGCAAAACAGTAATATGGGTTTAAACATTTGATGAATAAAGAAATGTTTTAGTTTTTTATAATTATTAACTAGGAAAAGAAGTAACGATGAGTCCCGCTAAATGAGTAAAAACTTCCTTCATATTTCTTTTGTATTTCATCCATGTTATAATAAAACCATGTCATGGAACTAAATGATCTAATGTCACATATAGTTGTGATACAATACTTTTCTAACAACCCATAAAAAGCATAGAGCTTAAATCACCTTGAAGGCCATGCCAAGTATAGCAAGAGGAAAGCCATATGTAAGCATCAATGCAGACCACTCTGATCCAGGAAGGATATTAAAATATGCTCCGAAACCATACCTATAGCATATGTACGCAGCCAAATTTCTAAAAATTATGATAATATTGTAAGCATCTTTTTCCGATTATAAACTTCAAGGGTTATATAAGGTTAGAGCCTCAACTTTCTTGTATAATTTTATAGAAGAATGGGTATGAAGATCAACATTTCTGCATTATTTACATTGGTGGGCATCTAGCTGCTACACCAAGCCTAACTTTAAGTAAAATATATAAAAATGAACGACGTAAGAAAAGAGAAAGTCCATGAAAGGGTTCACCCTCTGTATCCGCATTTTGAAAAAAAGTAGAAAATTCACCTTTTTTTATCATAGCGCATCACTTAGGGCATGTTTGGGTCCTGAAAAATGCTAGAGAAAGGGAAAATGCTAAGGGAAGTTAATTTCTTATGTTTGGGTTTACCCAGGGAAATGCAAAAAAATGAAATGCATTTTTTTTTTACATATATTAGACTTCACAGTATTTATATGATAGTAATCAATAAATAAAAAGGATGAATTTGATTACATATCTAAATACTTTTTTTAAGTTTGACTGTTTGGGCATATCTTCTAGTTTCTCCCAAATATTTTTTCCTTCAGTTTTTATGTTATTTCACTAGCTTTTTCCGAATTTCAAAACAGTCCCTGGGGTCCATATGGGATGCCAAAAAGGTTGGGAAATTAAATAGGGAGAAAAAACAGGAGAGAGGAAGGAAAGAAAATGTTTGAAAGAAAAATATTGTTTCAAAGTTCAAACTCAATATATTCATTCTTAAGATTTGTTTGATCTCCTTTTAATTATTTTTTTGATCATAAATACACAGGTAACATTTTTGAAATCATCAAAATAATATTTTTCTTAGTATTTCCTTTCATCTCCCTACTATTTTCCAGGTTCCAAACACAGCGTTTTAGTTTTAGGAAATAGTGCAATTTAACAATATTCGTCTGCACGGCTGCTCCTCATTCCTCCCACCAATATGGTATAACTAAAACTACCTAGATGTGTAATTTGATCAGTGGAATGAGCTTACGATAGAAGTGAAGTCCCCAAACCAAGTCCAATGACACCAAATGAAACCTGCAGGCATTAGGCTATGAAATATAACCTCATTTCTCAGGATAATCAATCGTAAAACAAAACCAAATTTTCTGGGAATACTATAGAAGACATTATCTCTACTGAGCCTATTCTAACAATCATGTCATCTATCATTGCCGCATTGCAATCAGAATGAGTTATTATTATACTGCAATTGACAATGGTGATGGCTTATCATTTACGTGAGATTTCTAAATAAAGCACACAACAGGATAAAATCTCAAATTGACATAATAACGAAACAGTGATTTAACCACCTTGGCGAGGGAGAACTCATCATTGTTGACAATGGATTTTTGGGAGGAAGTAATTGTGGAAGGCTGAGCCTGAGCTGAATCAGGAACTCCGCAGGCAACTTTGAGCCGGAGCCGGCCCTGGGACTTCGGGAAACCTGATTCTCGATTAATGGAAACCGCCGATCCTAACCCAAGTGCAGGTAGTAAGGATTGAGTTCGATTCAGGGGGAGTAATTGGGCGTGATTGCAGACCGGAATAAGCTTCGTGCAGAGGATAGTTTCGGCGCTTCCTCCGGTCATAGCCACAGCTGCTGCTTTCATCTCAAAGGTGAGGTGGACGTGGCTGCATTCTTCTACCTTATTCTTTTATTACAGTCAGTCCAGTAATCTTCATCAACTCTGTTCTTATCCTAATTTTTGTGAGACTAGGGGTGTCCCAGATTTGGAATGAAGAGGATTTTAATGGAGTTTAGAAATCCGTCAGAATTCGGGTGTTCTTTATTTGGATTTCTGTGAAATTCATATATTTCTATTGCTACTTATTTGGATAGATTTTAATGGATTTCTATATACAAAAAACATTACAACACAAATCTTGTAGAATCCCTCGGATTTCAAAATCCATTATCTTTTAATACATTCAACTTCAAGTTGGTGACACCCTCCTAAAATCACAGTCCCTCTCCCAAAATTGAATTGCCGATTTGATATTTTAATTCTTAAAATATTTGGATTTTACGACTTTATACAGATTTCAATGTATTTCCTAATTATGTAAATTTTAATTATTAAAATTGAATTAATTATTAATAGGGAGAATTTAACTTTAACGAGATTGAGATTTTGTTCTCACTTCTCATGGTATTCGAGTATTGATGTTTTTTTATAAATTTTAATTTGAGTGTTTAAGATGTACGTGGGTAAGCAGTTGTCCCTCGTGATAAGAGTCGATCCAGTCCGCTAGCATGTCATTTCGGATTGTTACCTACCCAACTAAAAACTTAGAGAACCCTTTTCCCTAATCAAGAATGTGCGGACAAACAGAGCCATAGAGAGGCTGTGCAAACTGTGCTTTTGCATAGGGCCTCAAAATATTTTAGGCCTATTTTTTTATAAATATATATAGTATATATATAAAGTAATAATTATTTAGTACTTCGTATATAAATATACCGTAGTATTAAGAACTTAAGAAACCATTAGAATTTTTGAAGTCATTAAATGAAAATGGCCCTACGGTCCAACTAGAACAAATAAGCAACACAGAAGATTGCATTCCATATTAAATAAAAAAAATTAAACAACTTTGCCAACTTCCCAACTTTCCCATATTGCACTCAAGCTAGAACGGTACATCCCCCTTCTCCACTCCTCACATCCACAAATTAGAGTTTTATGAAATTCTAAGTTATATTTTCCAAAATAGATCACTTAATTTGTCTGAGCCATTCAACTATAAACTATCCAAGTCATCAAACATTCAAACGTAACCAAAGGTAATAAAATCCGTTACATTTTCTTATCCGATTTCTTAATTTATAATTTTGATACGTTTTTTATTACTTATATTTCTTTTAGTGACTTTGTTTACTTTTGTTGTGATTGTGATCCCCTTTCAGGGATATATTTTAGGGTTGATTTGTGGTATATTTATTAAATATAAAGTCTAATTTGTGTGATTTGCACCGGGCCTCCTAATTTATTAAGCCGGCCCTGCGGACAAATAAAACCTACTACGTATTTTTAATATGGTTATCTATCTAATGTTTAATTTTGATAAATAAAAAAGGGTGTGAACAAATAAAACCTATTTTTGATCTGATTATTTATCTAAGGTTTAATTTTGATAAATAAAAAAGGGTACGAACAAATAAAACCTATTTTTGATCTGACTATTTATCCAATGTTTAATTTTAATAAATAAAAAAGGATGCAAACAAATAAAACCTACGACGTATTTTTGATATGATTATTTATCTAATGTTTTTTATTTTGATAAAAAAAAAAGGGTAAGCTCATATGCGCTAAATTTATCCGCAGAGCGGACAACAAGCAACCCTTTTGACTTTTATGCGCAATATTCTAATCACTGCTTCCCCTGTATATTGCACCAGCCGGGAATCGAACCCGGGTCTGTACCGTGGCAGGGTACTATTCTACCACTAGACCACTGGTGCTTGTTGGGGAGTACTTTTTGTAGTTTGTATTTATATATTTGGTACTCGCTTCTGGAATGACTAATTTCAGAATTGTCTGGAATTGCCTCTTAATGTAGACCTACATTATATGCGCTATTCTATTTTTATATTACCAAGTGGGTTTGATACTCTATATTTCTGGTTCCATCAATGATCAAATAATTTTTTTTTGTCAAAAAAAATTAAATATAGACAAAAGATGCGATTGAATATATTGGATTTGTTCTTACTATTTACATATAAAATATCTTTTCCTATATTACCAAAATATATTTTTAATATTCGGTCCTAAAATGATCAACAAAGTCAATTTTTCTTAGTCCATACAATTTCATTTTATTTACTACGTATTATTTATCATATCAAATATTTATTATATTCTAATCAATTTCGATTTTGTGAATTTATAGATTTTCTAATGTAATTTCTGAATATGTAAATTTTATCTAGTCAAACAAATTTAATTGTTTGTGTTGAATGATTTAACTTTATCGTTAGTCAAACTTAAAAACCGATAATTATAAATCTGTTTAGAACGAAAGAAGTATTTTTTTTCTTAAATAACCAGAAGTACACAAGGTTTAAGATATTTAATCAACTTTAACATTAATCAAATTAAAAGCGGATTCTTGATAGGACATGTTGGCATGCAGTTGTTATGGTATTTTTTGATATATACAAGTGTTGATTTGAAAGTGTCATTTTATAAAAGTGTGACCGATGACTATAATAATAACCTAATTAATCATAGTAATTTATGTGTAATTTTTAAACTCAAATAAATATAACACTATGTTATACGGATTAGTAACTATTTGTCATATTTATATAAATAAATTTTATTTTAGTACTATCTATGAAAAGATGAGAAACGTCATTAATGTTAGACAAAAGAGTTACCAAAACCATGAATTGTTTTAGTACACTAGTAGTAATTCCGTTTTGTTGTTGTTGAAGATAACCAACTCCTAGACAAGTATTCCACTAATTATATTTTTACCTTATGATCTTTATTAATTAATACTGTATAATTTCATGTAACATTTGATTTGAAAATGCAAAAATTAATAATTCATCAGAAAATGAGGTATATATCCTTGACCTAATTCACATTGTAATTAAAGAATAAAATTCTCGTAGGCCGTAACTAGTTAAATTCCTTTAACCAAGTTTGTTAACATTAAAGATTTACCACTAAAGGGAGAACTATCAAATAAGCCCTCGAACTTACATAAAAAGTGTAAATAGGCCCTTTTATAGGAGGCTCTGTCCGGCTGTCATCATTTGGGTGGTTCCTGGTTGAATTTTTTGATAATTTTTTTTGAGCATCTTATTCATTAAGTCTAGTTTACTCACACCAAATTTCAGCTAAATATTTAATAGGGATGACACTCAAATGAATTTTTGAAAATTACTGCGCAGTTAAACATCACAGTATATTTCCAAAAACCATTTGACTACTTTCTCGGTTGAAGTTTTAGCTGAAATTTAGTATGGGTAAACTATATTTAATGAAGAAGATGTTCAAAAAAGTTCATAAAAAAATTCCACCAGAAACCGCCACAAATGGCGATGGCCAGACAGAGCCTCCTATAAAAGGCTTATTTGTACTTTTTATGTAAGTTCGATGACTTATTTGATAGTTCTCCCACCACTAAATGTACAATTTCCGGCGGAAAGTCTAACACCGGCGACGAATTTTCCATTTTTTTGCAGAAAATTATACTTTCCGGCGGAATAAATAAAACTTAAAAATGGATAAAGTTAATTTTTAGTTACAGATTTGAACGTACTCCAAGTAATTAGTAGAATTTACAGGACTTATATTGTGCTCAAACAAACTTAGAAACTAAATCAGCAAATCTCCCTACATGTCACAGTTCACACACTATATATAATGTTACATATATGATGTTAAAAGTACATGTCGGAAGCAACATCCAAGTAAGAGGAGGGACTGATCGTGGAGACCAGAAAATGCTTTCATGTCAACTCTTAGAGAATTTTGTAGGAAAATGCTTGTTTTGTTTTGCGGTGGTTTGTTGTTCTTTCCCGTACATTGAAGCTCCGGGGTGTTTTGTCTCTCTCGGTGTGGGGAGTTGTTTTGGTGTCCTCGCCAGCTTCACCAGGCTAGGTGGGGATCATCCCTAAATATATTTACTCTTATATAAATCATGTTTTGAACCTTATGAATTGGTTAATGAATTTACGAGGTTGTAAATTTTTGTTATTTCTTTTACATGAATAGTGAATTGCACGTGGGGCCCACATCGTGAGCGGGAACCACCCGATATTTCTGAGACCACATATTATATTCATCCAGGGCCATCTCAAGGAATTTTGGTTCCCCAGACAAACAATAACTAATGATATCAAATTGTACTTCAAATTAATAACATAATTAAATATGAAATAATTAGAAAATTATAACATCATTTTTTACTAAATGTAAAAAGAAATACCTGATTTAAAATTGATGTAAAGTATGTGAAAATATAAATTCTTCAAAGAAATAAATAAAATTATAAAAGTACTACCTAATAACCTATTCTTCTTGCCTTTTGATGTGCAAATTTGTAAGTACATCACCACAATCAAGAATAGATAACACTTTTTTCACCATTTGCAAGCACCGAGTTTAGTGTTTGTCACTAGAACTCCGTTTTTTTATCAACGAGGTAATCATCATGATCAGTAATTCTTATTGGGCCAGTTTATTATATATATATATATATAGGAAAATTCTCAGGTCCGAAAGTTCGGACGTGAGGCGCCGTCCGAACACCGCCGTTTGGGGCGGTTCCCGTTGAAATTTTTCGATGAAATGTTTATGGTATGTTATGCATCAAGTATAGTTTATTCACAAAAAAATTCAGCTCACAACTCGATCCGGAAGGCCGTCAAATAGGTTTTGGAAGTTGACTGCGTTTTTCTATGTATAATTTTGCGCAGTTAATTTTCAAAAATTATTTGACGACCTTCTAGGTCGGATTTTGATCTAAAACTTTTTGTGGATACACTAGACTTGATGAAGAACATACCATAAATATTTCATCAAAAAATTCCACCGGGAACCGCCCCGAAGGAACGTTATTCAGACGGCGTTCGGACCAAAACCTGTTGGACAGGAGAATGATGCCCCCTTGGGAGTGGTGCCCTAGGCCACTGCCTAGGTGCCTACCCCCTATGGCCGGCCCTGTATTCATCTTGGTCTAGATAATGTGTATATGGTAATGGATATTTTAGTTGGGCTATAACAAAGGAATAGGGTGGACCGGTTTGTCAAACGAGGCCTAATTACCGATATAGGTAATTTATTGGATAACAGTCCGAAGTGAATTTCAGAGACTTCTAAATTAAAGTTGGAATGTATATTCACTCTAAGGGTCCATAGTGATGGAGGATGTGAGATATATTTTATTTGACCCGATAAAATAAAATATATTTAAAACAGTCCGAGAAATACAACTTTCGAGGTCGATTGTACAGTTCGGGACATAAACGGATGACCTCCCACATGAGTGGGGGCCACCCCACTTTTTTGTGCTCAAATGAACAAGAAAGGATGTGTGGTTGATGTGAGAAGGGATGTAGAGAGTTGACCTTGAGAGGTTTGGCATCTAGGTGGGTCATGGGGGCCTCCTCCCTCACCCATTGCCCTATTGAGACAAAGAGAGTCTCAATCTCATTCCTCTCCATCACCAGCTCGACCAAACCCCTCAAAGAAAGAGAAAAACCTCTGTAAAGCTTCATTCCTCAATTGCCAAGTGAGCTCAAGAAGACAATGTCCAAGGAGGAAGATTTAAGAAGGAAAAGTGAGGGAAAAGATTGGTGGATTAAGGAACTTGTCTAAGGTGTTCCTAGTACTTTCACGGAATTGAAAGAGTCTCCGAAGCTAGGCAAAGTTCACCGGAGTTTCGCCGGAGTTCAACCGAGAAGGGTAGAACTTCATAAAGCTCATTCGAGGTGAGTGGAACTTCATAAGGCTTAATGTCTTGTAACTCTTGGGTTAAGTATAAGATTACCTAAAGAAATGTTATAAGTATTCATAATGATGTTTAAAGGAACTTAAGCATGTGATTAGCCAAAATAATTTGGCTTATGTGAATGGTACTACATGATTATGCATGTTAAAGGTATAAAATGTGTTAAAAACATATGTGATGTTTTGGATGGTTAAAATGGGATATTATGGTTATTTAAGACCCAATACATGTTGTATAAAAGTTTCAAACCGATCGGAGATCATACGGGGGTCAACGGACCGCCGCCGTTGGGCAGACGGTGAATCGGCGCCGGCCATAGGGCCGAACCGGCGCCGGTTATGTCACTGCCTGGCCGGTCTGGGGAATTGAATACATACCCGGCGCCGGGTATAGGGTATGACCGGCGCTGGGTAAGTTGCTGCCACCGGGTTCCGATTTCGCAAAAAAAGCGATTCGGGCCCGGTTCGAAGGGGGTATTCACCCCGGACATCCTATATAAGTATTTTGTGCATGGAATTGCATGGAATATGATATTTAAATGACAAGTTTGATACCTATTGATTAAACTCTAAGACTTGGGTTAGTCTTGATAAACGATTATGATATAGACCCTATCTATGCATGATAAGCGGTAGATCATAAAAGTGAAAGTAAGACGGTGGAGACCCAAGGACGGTGGTACTGTCCTCAAACCTCGGTATATAAACGGTGGAGACCCAGGGACGACGGTACTGTCCTCAAACCTCAGTATATAAACAGTGGAGACCCAGAGACGACGGTACTGTCCTCAAACCTCGTTATATAAACAGTGGAGACTCAGGGACGACAGTACTGTCCTCAAACCTCAAATGTATAAACAGTGGAGACCTAAGAACGACGGTACTGTCCTCAAATCTCAAATGTATAAATGGTGGAGACCCAAGGACGACGGTACTGTCCTCAAACCTCAGTATATAAATGGTGGAGACCCAGGGACGACGGTACTGTCCTCAAAACTCATATGTATAAATGGTAGAGAATCCAAGGACAATGGTACTATCTTCAAACTCGTATGTATAAATTGACTTGGACCAGGAGGAGTCCTATACACACATAGGATATGGGTGGGTTGGAATTTAAGTAAGGATATTGATTACTATGATTTTCATAAATAAACAATGACCTACGGGTCGGGTATTTCCAAGTGTATATATATACTGATATGTATTTTATAACTTGGGGGAAAGTACTATACGTGTACGTATCACCCTATGTTTGGGTCTTATATTTGAAAAGTTAGTAACTCTACATTTAGCTTGCTACTCGTTCGGTACTTTTACTGACTCCTTCGGGGGGGGGGGGGGGGGGGGCACCATTTTCAGGTTGAAAATAGGGCTTGCTACCTGCACATCCTTACGGGTGAACTCAAATCAAGGAAGACGTGGTTCGTGCTTCCTTATTTCCTTTCAAAATACTAAACACTTGCTCATGGATATTTGATTTACTATAAACTATTTTGGGCCTGTGAGCCCATGTTTTGGCCGGTTGTGGCCCATGCTTTACTGTTGAATATTTCCGCTATTCATTGGTTTAAATGTGATATTGTTATATATGTTTACTACTGAGTATGTATAGATTATGTTCATGGACGCCTTGTATGACTAAGTCACATTGACTTGCGAGTGACGTCACTTGGTCATACGGCGGTTGTACACGCGCTTAGATGCGATCTGGGGCGTGACACCAAGGGTTTCTATCTGCCTTCTTTTGTGGTGCGTAGACATTGATAGAGCTCGTCCTCCTCCACAACCACTCGTGCCATGAAAAGTATTGCAAAAACACTTTATTTCAATATTATTTTTCCTTTAGTAGTACTTTTTTTTTTTTGAGTAGGTTTGGTTTGGATTTTTGGATTTTTGGAGTACGCTTAATAGGCGGTGTTTCGGTTCCGATTATTTTAGGCTTAAAATTGCTCGTTTTGTGTCTAGCAAATTATACTGTTTTGTATGAGGTTACTGATTCTATATCAATTCCTAGGGTTGGTGATCGGACTTGTTATAACTGTTTGGATATTGTCAATTATGTTTTCTCGATTTTAATATAAAAGGGGCTCTTTTATATTAACAAAAAAAATTAACGTTACAAGCTAGTTTATTCAAGCAAGGGTATACAAATAATTTCATCAGAATTCAGAACTATGTACAATGATCTTGTCTTCTACATGCCATTTTCTCCTTACAACATGCATGTTTTTTGTGCATGTGTCAAAATTAATTTTTTTTTACCATGAATGAACGGGGCAAAGAAAGATATGCCTACTATTTTTCTTCTTCCTTGATCTGAGTTTCTCTTTGTGTCTTTGCCTTTTTCTCATCCACAAGAAACGAATCAATGACAAACACCCTCTTTGTATCTTCCCAATTTCACCTCTCTTCTCCTTCTCTTGCTTTGCTTTCTCTCTTGACTCATTGTTTGGGGCGATTTCTTCTTCCTCTCCATCTTTTGTATTTACTTTTTCTTCTTGTGCCTATATGCATTAAAAGTTAAGAGATAGGTTAAATAGGAAACATGAAATTTGCTCAGAAAAATGGAACATATAATTCATTACATACTTGAAACATGTATATTCTCGATTTTATATTAATATTCTTGAAACATGTGGTTAGATTTTTCGAAACTCATTTTTGTTGTAACTTTGTGTTAGCAGTACTACCGTTAGTAATGATATATAAGGCAAATATTAATTACGTATATTCATGTTATAATTATTGTAATATCTTTTCCTTTCTTATGTATACCCCTTGTACTATAAATACTCATGAAATGTAAAGTTCACCATTGAGGTGGTTTTTATTAAGATCTTATATGGTATCAGCCTAACCTACGATCCTTACTATTTTTTTGCCATGACTACCGCAGACTCCACCTCTGCAACTTCTTCTCTTCCCTTAGCCACTCTTCTTCACATGTTAACTATCAAGCTCTCCTCTTCCAACTATCTCCTCTAGCGCAATCAAATCCTTCCCCTCCTCTCTTATCACAATATGCAGGGCTATGTTGATGGATCTGTCTCCGTCCCTTCGGAATTCATCACTCTTGATGGTGAATCTTCTCCCAATCCATCCTATTCTACTTGGTGAGACACTTATCAACAGGTTCTAATTTTAGTACAATCTTCCTTTACTGAAGAAGACATGGCCGAAGTTCTTGGTCTCAATTCTGCACATGCGGTTTGGTGTGCCCTCGAAGCAGCCTATTGTCATGATTCAATTGACCGTATGCACACTCTTCGTGACTCTCTCCGATCCCTTAAAAAGGGAGAATTTTCTGTCCCTGAGTATGGTCGCAAATTCATGTTTCTCTGTGATCAATTGGCAGCTATTCAGCATCTCGTTAGTGAGACCGACAAAACTCACTGGTTTCTCTGTGGATTAGGCTCTTCTTTTGAGACCTTCTCTACTTCCTTCAGAACTGTCAAACCCCGTCCTTCGTTTCGTGATCTTCTCAACCAAGCAGAGAGTCATGAGCTTTTCCTCAAATCCATTCACGGTGATTCTCCTCCTCCCGTGGTTTTCAATGCTCAGCACCAACGTTCTTCTGCGTCCTACGACTCTCACTTTAGTGGGCGTCCATCTTCATCTAGGGGAGGTTATGCTACTGGTTGAGGTCGTGGTCAGCGTCCTCCCCACTGCCAGTTATGTCGCAAAGATGGTCACTACGCCACCCATTGTCCCGAGCTGTCTACTTTTGCTTCTAAAGGTTCTCCTATTGATGCAAATTTGGCTGCTGCATTCCATTCTCAATGTCATGTTGCTAATAGTTCCACGGATTGGTATGTGGAGTCCGGGGCCATAGCTCATATGACGCCATCTTTTTCCTCCCTTGAAGCATCTACTCCTTATACGGGTAACGACAGTGTCACCTTTGGCAATGGTAATCGCCTACACATCTCTCATATTGGTCACACCTCTATTACTAAAGATCTTGATTTATTAGATGTCCTGGTTGTTCCCCATCTCAACAAGAATTTGCTTTCTATTAGCAAATTAACCAGGGATCACCCAGTTGATGTGTTATTTTCTGATCGTTTCTTTACTGTTCAGCATTGTCACACCAAGGCAGTTCTAGCACGGGGCGTCCATGATCAAGGTCTTTACATACTATTGCAAGGCAATAAATTAGCTCTTCTCGCAGCTTCTTCCCAGATGTTTCGTGCTTCCTATGAACTTTGTCACTCCCGCTTGGGGCATATTGCATTTGATAAGATTACTTTATTAGCTAAATTAGGGCATTTAGCTCTTACATCCCTTTTACCCAAACCATGTATTTGCTCCTCTTGTCAACTCTCAAAGAGAAAACATTTACCGTTTGAGTTAAATAATAAACGTTCTTTGCATGTCCTTGATTTAATACATTGTGATTTGTGGGGCGCATCTCCAGTTACCTCTCCTCATGGTTATCGTTATTATGTTATCTTTATTGATGACTTCTCTCGGTTTACATGGTTTTATCCGCTCAAGGCCAAATCTGAATTTTACAAGATTCTCACAAGCTTCTTAAGTTTTGTGCAAACACAGTTCTCTTGTAAAGTGAAAACTTTCCAGAGTGATGGCGGGACTGAATTTCGTAACAATCTTGTTATGACATTACTGACAACTAATGGAACTCTCCATCAATTCTCTTGTCCTCACACACCACAGTAGAATGGCCGAGCCGAACGTAAGCACCGCCATATCACTGAAACCGGACTTGCCATGATGTTCAATGCTCATTGTCCTACATCTTTTTGGGTTGATGCTTTTGCCTCTGCAACCTACATTATTAACCGAGTTCCTTCTAAGGTTCTCAACAACCAAACTCCATATGAATTGTTATTTGGCACTTCTCCTAATTATGCCAACTTCCGTACTTTTGGGTGTCGATTCTTTCCTTATTTACGGGACTATCAGCTCATAAACTTTCTCCTCGCAGCTTGCCATGTATTTTTATTGGTTATGGAAATCAGTACAAGGGCTACCGTTTCTTAGACCCCACAACGTCTCGTATCTACACTACTCGCCATGCTCAATTTGATGAGCACACATTTCCATTTTCACGACATTCATCTTCAGTGGACACTGCTTCTCTGCTTATATCCACTTATGATGAGTTTGCTCGTTCTCCTCCATCGTTGGTCCACTCTCCGCCTGGTCCTGCATCTTTTAAACTTGCTTCTGTTTTCACACCTCGACCGTGTTCTTTATGTCTGGGGCCTGATTCTATCTCCTGTATTCACTCTGCAGCAAATCAGCATGCTGCTCCTGATTCACCGAGTGCTTCATCTGAGACTGCTCCTGTAGTGCATGTTGTTATTAATTCTATAACCTCCTCCCAGCATACTGCCTCAGTACATCCCATGACTACTCGTGCTCGGGCAGGAATTTTTAAACCACGCCACTTTCTTGATCTTACTCAAGTTAACCCCATGGTCTTCATCAGGCTCTTCTCTCTGCTGTCGATCCTAAAGGCTTCAAAACAGCCTCTAAGGACCCTAAATGGGTCAAGGCCATGGAAGAAGAAATACAGGCATTACGAGCTAATCATACTTGGTCGCTTGTTCCGCGCCCTTCCTCATCTAATGTTGTTGGTTCCAAATGGGTTTTTCGCACCAAATATCACTCTGATAGCTCCATTGATCGTTTTAAAGCCCGCTTGATCGCTCAAGGGTTCACTCAAGTTCCCGGGCTGGATTATTTTCATACTTTCAGTCCAGTTGTCAAAGCTTCTACTGTTCGCATTGTTCTCTCTCTAGCGGTTATGCATAAGTGGCATCTTCACCAACTTGATGTCAAAAATGCCTTTCTCAACGGGCATCTAAATGAAACTGTGTTTATAGAGCAACCCCCCGGCTTTGTGGATTCCTAATTTCCCAACCATGTCTACCGCCTCAACAAAGCTCTGTACGGCCTTAAACAAGCTCCACGAGCTTGGTTTCAGCGCTTAAATGAATTTCTCCTTACTTTTGGCTTCTCTTGTAGTCGCGCTGATCCCTCGTTATTTGTTTTTAAACGTGATTCATATCTTCTATATCTTCTTGTTTACGTTGATGACATCATTATTACCGGAAATCGTGAGCCTCTTATTCACAACATGATTTCTCATTTGCATCGTGAGTTTGCTATCAAGGACCTCGGTCGCTTGAATTATTTTCTGGGCCTTGAGGTATCTTACACTGACACCGGTTTATTTCTCAGCCAGAATAAGTATGCTCATGATATACTTGCTCGTGCCAACTTACTCGATGCCAAGCCCATGCCTACTCCTTTGTCTACGTCCGAGCAGTTTCTCAGTCATGGACCTTCCTTCTCCGATCCCACTCACTATCGTTCTCTTGTTGGCGCACTTCAATATTTAACGATTACTCAGCCAGATCTTTCATATGCCGTAAACTAAGTGAGCCAGTTTCTTCATGCTCCGACTACTGCTCACTTTTGCGCCGTCAAACGTATATTACGTTATGTTAAAGGCACGCTCTCGTTTGGACTCTCTTTTCAGCATCCTTTGACCTCTTCTCTTATTGGATATTCTGATGTCGATTGGGCACATTGCATTGAGACTCGGAGATCTACTTATGGCTATTCTATTTTTCTTGGTGGTAATTTGGTCTCGTGGAGTGCCAAAAAGCAGCCCACTGTATCTCGTTCCAGCTGTGAATCTGAATATCGGGCAATGGCTAATACGACTGCTGAAATTGTTTGGATTACTCATCTTCTTCGCGAACTTCATGCCTTACCCCCTGATCGTCCCACTCTCCTATGTGACAATCGCAATGCTATTTTTCTAAGCCAAAATCCGGTTTCTCATAAACGTGCCAAGCACATTGACATTGACTACCATTTTGTGCGAGAACTTGTTTCATCCGGTCGTCTCCACACTCGTTTTGTTCCCACTACTCTTCAGTTGGCCGACATTTTTACAAAGAGCCTTCCACAGCCTCTCTTTGAGCATTTTCGAGCCAAGCTTCGTGTCGGTCCCGCACCACTAAGCTTGAGGGGGGTGTTAGCAATACTACCGTTAGTAATGATATATAAGGCAAATATTAATTACGTATATTCATGTTATAATTATTGTAATATCTTTTCCTTTCTTATGTATACCCCTTATACTATAAAAACTCATGAAATGTATAGTTCACCATTGAAGTGGTTTTTATTCAGATCTTATACTTTGATTAATTAAAAAATATAATCATGGTTATAATTATCAATGGTACGGTTTCTCAAGCTGTTTTAATAAAAATAAAATGGATATGATGTGTCAATTTTTTTTCCAAGTATAGATTACTCCGTAAGTCATATATATATATATATATATATATATATATATATATATATATATATATATATATATATATATATATATATATATATATATATATATATATATATATATATAGGGGATGGTTCAAATAAAAAGAGGTCTTAACGTGCAAAGTGAAAAGTTTACACTTTTTCATGTTTCGCTTGCACTTTTTCATGTTTTCGTTGCACTTTTTCGCGATAGCTCAAAAAAATTGGTTTATTTACAAAACTGCCACCGTCATTTTGGCCGAATTTGGACAAAATCAAAATGGCCAAAAAGTGCAACACAAACAACAAAAAGTGCAAGCGAAACATGAAAAAGTGAAAACTTTGCACTTTGCACGGGAAGACCACTTTTCTTTTGAACTCTTCCCTATATATATATATATATATATATATATATATATATATATATATATATATATATATATATATATATATATATATATATATAGGCTAAGGATCAAATGAGAATACCATCTTAGTAGAGAAATGAGAATGATTCTGGAGCGTTGGATTTGAGCATTGTGCATCATGTAAAACAGAAACGTGCATATAAAAAATTGGAAAATGTGCATTTGATCTGTGCAAAATTTTAAACGTAAATGTGCACATTAGAATTTTGCATTACTTTAACTATAAATGTGCAGTTGGTTTTTTGTCTGAGATATATATAATGTCTGAGATTTTGTTTTTAGCATATGGTTTTTTGTGGAAAGGCTAGTTAGAATGAGGTGGACAATACAAGGACTAATATACTTCTTAGGAAACATGTACGTTGCTTTATGTCTTGGGCTCGCCTAAACAACAAAATCATTCCCCTTTTCTTCAATTATTGCGGGCACAGAATTATGTAAAAGTTTGATGAAAAGATTAAAAAATTTACTGTACTAAGCAACTTTTAACCGAAAAACTCAAGAATGACAAACATGCAAGCCCACTAGAGGAAGTACTCATATGCATGTGGAGGGTCCAATAAGTATAAGGACCATTCTTTTCTTACTCATCAATTGACCATTCATGATTATTCTTCTATTTTCTACCATTTTTTTTTGGAAATTTCTTAAAATAGAACTAAACATTTACAAAATTCATGAATATAGTTCATCTTATTCCTAGAACATAACTTATTTAATCATATTAAGAAAAAATAGCACCCGCGATTAAGGAAAGGCACGATGCTTTACCTATGCATTGAGAATTTTCTTGTTCATTGCGTTGATGTAAAAACTGCTCTATAAGCTATGAAATGTACCTGATCATCATATGATTTTAATTTGTACTTTGATTTATTTAAATGTATTACGATCGCTACGCTACTGGATGGTCTAATAGAAGTATGATTTTTGTGTATTTTTTAATTGTCAAAGTCTCATATGATTTGATATATATTAGTCAGACTATATCTGATTTGGGACTGAAACGATGAAATCAGTCTAATTAAAAGAGTTGGCCTATAGAAAAGTTGACCTTGTGATCATCAACCGAGTCTACTTGTGTACGGGAGGTGTAGTGGGAAGGAGGTGGTTCAGTAGGAATATGATTCCTCTTAGTTGACCTTTCTTGAACGGATGGATTTGGGCTACTGCTTGAACTGAGAGGGTAAGGTGGTGGTGGTGGAGTACAACTACTACCACAGCTGCTTTGAGTTCCCACATCTCTTGTGTTCTCACTACTACTCTTCTCTGGAATAAAATATGAAAAAGTTTTTCTAAATAAATTAAAACATTGGGAGTAACATGATAATTATAAATTGTCCTAAATAGGAATATAGACACATAATTATGTCACATTGTAGACATCAAAACATGATCTCTTTCGAAATGATTTACAAATTCAAATTTCTAATCAATACAGTTTCATTTTATTTACTTATGTAACATATCAATTTGTTCTTATATTTTAATTTGGATTTGGATTTTGTGATTTTAAAGAACTTTCAGTGTAGTTTCTGAATATGTAAATTTTAATTATTATAACTACTTTAATTATTCAGATGAATGATAAAACCCTATTGTCAGTTAATCTAAAAAAACACAAATCGTAATACAATTCGGGATGGATAAAGTATACTATGTATATATGTAATATGGTAGTATGTGCATATAGTATTGGTCTCGGTCTAAATGTTCAAAACATGACTTTTACGATTTAAACAAATGATTGAAATTTGAGTACAAAAAGGTGAAATGATTTAGAATATTTTTACTTGGAATGTGTTCAAGCTCAGATCATATCAGATTAGATCAGACCTCATTTCAGTTAAAAATATTCTTACACCAACTATTTTTGTAAAAAATAAGTAGAAGAATTATTTTGAGAGAGACCAAAAGAGTAAAGGAGGACTTACTATTTACTTAGGGAGGGAAGGAGTAGTTAATTGAATACTCCCTCTATATAAGTACTAAAAAACAATTTTGCTACTTATACCCACTTCTTATACCCATCTATCCCCACCATGTGAGAAAGACTGTTTTTTTGTCCGTGAACGAGATTCACACACAAAAAATAACCTTCTCACAGGAGTGAGTATAAGAAAATAGGTAAGAACTGATTTTTTATTCGTAAAAAAAATAGTGTGATGTTAAACGTGAAAGTCAAACAATGACCCTATTTAACTAAACAGAGAAATAATATAAATTTGTTTAAATGGGATTAACACTTAGATAAAATGTACAAATAGAATTACATGTATTTTATTTTCGAAATAAGACTTATTTGATCCCATTAAAAGTATAGAACTTCACATATTAGGAACGAATAAGTCCTATTTTAGGAAGAAAAGAATAGTAGGCTTTTGTTTATTAGAAATTTTCTCAAAGAAAGCATGAAAATGAAGTATATGTACATGTTATGTACTGTACTACGTATATTAATACTCCGTATTTGACTATGTACCTTGGCTTGGAACGGTGGTGCTTTGATCACTATCAAGTCGTCGGAGAAAAGGAGGCGCATGCGGCGGTTTCTTAAGCCGGGGAGGGTAGAACAGCGGGGCGGACATTGAAATCCGGCTGCGGCGGGTGGCCAATTGTTGCCGGAATGATCTCCCACTCAGTGTCTTCGCAGAGAGGCATTCCAATGGAACCTCACCTGATAAGGGATTGCATATGTATTTCTCTGCTTCGTTCCACTTCGAGTTGAGGCTCAATCCTTCCGCCGCTGACGACGTCTTCCAGTAGTACTCCGCCCACCACCTCCCATAACCGCCGCCTGCTGTCTTCCCCTGCAATGCTGCGACGTCGTCCATGCATGCAAATTGTGCATTAGTGGAGCATTTGTGTGAATCTATCATGGCATTAATAAATTAATGATTCAGCTCTTTTAATTAAGTGTGCTTTGCTGTATATATTTACCTTTGAGGGCAGTGCTAAAGGAATAGGTTGAAGGGTCAATTTCTTCTGTCAAAGAGGAACACAATAGAAAGGATATTGATGGTGAGCACTAGGGATGAAGTTTAATTTAATAAATTGTTCAAAATAGGAGTAAAATACATTACATGCAAAATATTAGAATGGAAGTAAATATTTTTCTCTCCCCAAATAAGACTTACTAGTAGGAGTGGACATATTGGTTTGGTTTAAGTGAACAAAACGTACAAAATCGAACTATACCAACTGAAACCAGACCATATGCAATATGGTTTCAGTTTGGTAGTATTTTTTCTAAACCATATTAAACCGGATCGAACCGAACCGAACCGAAACCGATAAAACCCCAACAAAACTGAATCGAATGAAAGAAATTCAATAAACCTTCATATATTACTAGTATTAAAAAAATTAAAAAACGAATCAAACCGAAAAATAGTATTCCCTCCGTCCCAAATTGATTTGTAAAGTCAACATTTTTTGGTCAATCAATGTTAAAGTTTTATGGAGTATTTTGGAAGAACCAATGTTAAAGTTAAATCATCCTTATTGACAATTAATTCAATTGTTAATAAATAAAATTTACATATTCAAAAACTACATTAAAATCTCTTCAAATTTGCAAACTCCAAACTAGAAAATATTTAAAAATGGGTATCCTAATTAAGTGAATAAAATGAAACGGTTTCACCACGAAAAGTCAATTTTTTCAAATCAATTTGGGATGGATGTAGTATACACTTCGTATATGGTTTTTGTTTGTTAATAATTCTCCCAACCCGTTCTATGAACCGAAATCAATAAAAACCGCATGAAAACCAATACTTCTATCCCACTTAGCAGTAGGTTTAGACCCGTGTAATTAATAATATGGACTATGGAGTGTCGAACTCATTAAGAAAAAACTCTCTATTGAGTATATATATTTAGTCGAATTAAAAGAATAAAAACTTGAGTAAATAGTCCAATATTGTAATTAGGCCCTTTACCTTTTGATGAGGTGTAACCTGGAGAAGAGACTGTGCTGGAAATGTTGATGATGTTTGACCTGACTGAAGACTTGGTGGTCTGATTCTTATTATCAGCCTCTTCTTCTCTGAAAGTTGTGACATGATGATGAGGAGCTGAGAACCTTCTTGAAAGGGTGTTATTTTCGTGGGTGATGATTTTGGACTTGCGACTTGCCGGCGCCGGTTGGTAGTCGTCGTCCGGGTTACGGTGGCCGTTTTGATCTGAGCCGGAAACTGCTCCATTTTTCATTATTATTCTATTCTATATGATTCCTGCAGCTACCCGGCCTCTCCTTAATAAATTAGCTTCTCATACCTTCAATTTGCATCCTCTATTTGTAAAGGTTGTAGATAGCTAAAAAAAAGCTTCTTTAATTTAAAAACTACATATACATACTATTCGTGTCCCTCCAACTTAATTGTCACACAAGTGTGATGAATAGATATTTGGGTAGGTTGTCGGAAGGCGTAGCTCAACTGGTAGATAGGAGGTGACACAAATTAAAGGATAAGTCTCGGTTTCGAATCATGTCAACTGCGATGAGGGGTTACTATGCTAAAATGCATAGAGCCTCTGTAAGTACTAGACCATCACTCTCCATCTATCAATTTGTGATTAAAGTCCAATTTACATTCTCTCGTCAAACTGTCCGATCGATGTTGGGGGTCCTCAGGGATGGAGTATATCCATAGATATTTGGTAGGATCCAAAAATTATACGGAGGAATAAAAAGTGTACTCTGATTAAAGCATTTGAGAGAGAAAAAAGAGATGCTCCACTCATATACTACGTGTATAATAAATAGTACAGCAGATGATGTTTCATTGTTTCAACTTTCAACTATTCAAAATTAAAAAAAAAACGCAGTACTATTATTGTTTACTCCGTATTATCGAAAGAGTACCGCCCTATGAAACAATTTAATACTCTCTCCGGTTCAGAAACATCTTTACACTTTTCTTTTTTAGCAGTACCTGGAAGATCTTTACACTTCCTTGTTTGCCTTATTTGGCAAATAAATTTACACAAAAAAGTGTCAAACAGTACCAAACAGTGTAAAACAGTGTCAAACAATGTACTCTACAGTAAAGTCAAATTTATTTCCTTAAAAATGTGAAGTCAAATTGTCAAGATCCTTTAACGGACCGACCGATCCTTTAACTTGTGATTAAAGCACAATTTACATTCTCTCGCCTAATCAAATTTAATGGAATTTACGTTCTCAAGGATGAGTGATCTTCTTTATGAAATAAAGAAATTAACACGGACTTCATCTCTTCCTTAAAATTTTGTCAAATAGTTAAACTGACCAAGTAATGAAAATTGTGTATTGAAGTTTCAAGAGAAAATTATACGTCATAACCATACATTAATAACTCAGAAAATAATACGGAGTAGTAACCATGCACTATTAACAATAAACCATACATCATTAACAATTCAATTCAATTAATTTATCATCAAAATGCTACCTTAAATCGCAGTGCTTATACCGTGGAACCGGTGCATGGTGAGCACCATGCACCCTTTGTTATTTTTTATTTCTCTTTTTCTTAAAATTGTTAATAATTTTTTTAGTTTTGATCCGTTTTTTATAAAATTTATATCAATTTTTTTTTTTATTTTTCATGATCTTTCAAATGAGACTAATATTGCCTATGTAATTTTAATTTTTTACATTCATACATTTTTTTGTAATACTCCGTATATTTTTATATGCATACACTTTTTCTATAATATATTTTTTTATCACTTTTATATGTTTTATAGGTTTTTAAGATATTGAGTTTGTTTATTTTGCTTCTAGCTTGGAGTTACATTTGATAATATACGAAGTTACATCATCTAATACTCCAGTTAGAAGTTATTACGTGTGAGTTACATTTTGTTATGTGTGAGTTACATCTTGTTATACACGAGTTACATACTTTTATGCGCGAGTTACATGCAATTATGTGTGAGTTACATCTTGTTATGTGTGAGTTACATCTTGTTATACACGAGTTACATACTTTTATGCGCGAGTTACATGTAATTATGTGTGATGTTATATCCAATTATTTGTGATTTTTTAGTTATCTTTATCTTGAACTAATTCAATTATAACTGTGATGGATAAGTGTACCCGGGGGTAGCTTATCCGAGGGGTTATTGCGGGGAGTAATAAGAGAGAAGTCAGAGCAAGTAAATATAGAGAGAGAAAGTATATTATGAAGTGTAGAGCGTTTTCAGCGTTTATGACTTGGTTACAAATGGGGGAAAGGGGTGCTATTTATAGTAGCAATAAATGCCGGACAGGGACACGTGTCAAGCGTCCATTGGCCGAGAGGTCACCTCATCTGGTTGGCGCTGGCAACCGCATGTGGCCGCATTTAATGCGGCTGTTGGATGGGACGTTGTACAGGGTACGGTGATCTGTACGCATGTGGCGCGGATATCATGTCGGGGAAGGTGCCCTCGGCTGTTAGAGGACTAGCCGAGGGCTCTGAGTACCGGGGACCCCTTGGTGCCGAGGGCTCCAGGTGCCGAGGGCTACTGTTTTCTGCCGTTTTTCTCCCAGTTTCCTAGTTTGCTTGAAAACCCATTCTGTGAGAGTTTTGAGCCTTCGGCCAGGGGGCCGAAGGCTCCCCAGTGTGCGCTTTGGTCTTCTAAGTGCTTAGGGTGCCGTAATTTGGGGCCTGCTGTGCTTCCTGGGCTGGTTGGGCCTTTATTGGTGTAGTAGGAGTCTGTGGGCCGGGGGTTCCCGGGCCATATACTCCATCAGGAGTCCCTCACTCCTTTTGCCGAAAGGTACTTGAGGGAAAAGGAGTAATTTTGTGTTTGTCCCCTTGATGTTGTCCTGTTGTAATCTCTGAAGTTGGTGAGGAGTTGTTGCTTTCATGTCCCTGTCGAAGGCAGTCCCTCAGTTACCCATATGTCGGGACTTGAGGGCTTGCTTTGCGGTTTGTTGGAATTTTTCACCATTTTGTAATTTTAATGATTTTCCCGAGGGGGTCCTCCAGTCCCCCACTCCTTGAGGCACTTGCAAAGTGGTGAAAAGGAGTAGAGTAGTCGCGCTGCTGTTGTGGGCCGAAGGCTGACGCTTTTCGTTTCATTTTGGGGGGATGCCTCGTTAAAAACCTCATTAGGAAAAACCCTGGGGAAAAAAATCCTAATGAGGGAAAAAGAGTGCACCGAATTCCCCCAACGATGAATCGAAAATGTGAAACCTTGGTCAAAAATGAAGAATAACGGTAATGCCGAAGGCTCTCCTTGTTGTGAGGGCTCATGTGTTGATTAGCCGAAGGCTTGCTATTGATGTCCTGGGGGTGCCGAAGGGGAGCCCCTCAATCTGGGGATCGAGGGCGTGATGGATGAGGGCAGTAGTTGAATTGTCACCGGGGGGTCCCCTGCTTGTTCATTAGTTGGTGATGGGGATATCCGAGGGCTCCCATTACCTGTGTGCCGTAGGCTATCCGTCAATGAGGCATACTCCCCGGGGGCTACCCGGTCCTTACAGTGCCGAGGGGGAATCCCCGAGGGGCGGCCTGATGTGAAGCCTTGGGCTCCTGAAGGAGTGATCCCGAAGGCGTCTGTTATGTACTGTGTGGGGCACAAACCGGGGGCGTCTCTGGGTAAGTGTACCCGGAGGCTCTCCTTGATGAAGTGGAGTGAAGTAAGAAAATCCGGGGGCTCCCAGAATATAGCCGTTGGAAATATAGCTGTTGGAATATGTAACGTCAGGTTATAGCCGTTGGGGGGTACACGTGGCGCGTGACGGTTGGCTGTCCGTGGGCGGCGTCACCGGTTGGGCGAAGACACGGCGCGTAATGATGACGGTCCATCCGGAGGCCCGGTTTCCGGGCCCAAGCCTGGATTCCAGCGCCTATAAATACCCCAAGGCCAGGCACTCCTCCTTGTGCGAAATTCTTATAGCGAAGCTCTGCCAATTTTTCTAGAGAGAGAAACATCAGCCCTCGGTTGAATCCTCTGTTCTCAAGGTCAGTTCCCCCCTGCCCTTCTCCTTCTAGTTAGCTGTGCCTTGTGCCCTTAGGTTAGGAGATAGAATTTTCTAGAAAAACCTTAGTTCTCCCGAGCCCTCGAGCTAGAGCCATAATGTCGTCCCAGAGTGATTCTCAAGACATCTCGGGGGCGCCCTCGATGGAGGATGAAGTCCTCTCGGATGTGGAGTCCTCCAGTGCACAGTCCTCGGCCCAGGAGGACGTTGCGATGGCAGTAGAGGTGCAGAAGGAGCTGCTAGCTGAAGTTGAAGCCGAGGGCTTCGAGCAGGAGGTGGAAGACGAAGAGCTGGCCCTCGCCATGCAGGTTGCAGAGGAGGAGGAAGCAAAGAAGAGGACGAGGGTGACCGTGGCCGTCCTTCCCCCTCGGGGTGCTGGTGAGGCCAGTACCTCTCGGCCGCTGAACGCAGTTCCCATCCGGGTGGCCCCCGGGAAGAAGAAGGCCAAGGTAGCTGTTCCCAAGAAGAAGGGCAGCGTCGCAGATCAAGGGAAGCCCCTCGATATGCCCGAGGGGTACTCCTACCTGAACACCGCCGCCCTGGAAATAATGTCGAAGGTTGATGCGGCGGACATCTACGTCACCCAGCTTCACGTGGGCCCCTCGGCCATCGTGGTGACACCGGGTCCAGATGACGTCCTCTCCCGGGCTCCCGAGGGCTGTATAGCGGTGCACGTTCTCTCGGTATCCATGGGGCTCCGCTTCCCCATGCACCCCTTCCTACGGGAGTACCTTCGGTTCGTGGGTCTGGTTCCCTGCCAGCTGACCCCGAACAACCATTCTTATATTACTGGCTTCCTTCAGCTTTGCAAGTCCCGGGGGGGTGACGCCTAGCCTGGACCTCTTCTTCCAGAGCTTCAATTTGTGCGGGGGGGGGGGGGGGGGGGGGGGGGGGGCACGCGAATGTCGAGGGATTCGCCAACTTGCAGCAGGTGTCCATGTTCAAGCTCTTCACTGAGGCGCCCTCCTCGAACAAGGGGTGGAAGGACCGGTGGTGCTACGTGAAGCTGACCGAGAGCCCCTTCCCGAGGGAGTTGCGTGACCGTTTCAGGAGGCACGAGAAGAGGAGGAGCGCCGCCCTCGAGAAAGATGGCAGGATTCTGGCCATGATCCCGGAGGGCCGGGACAAGAATATCACCATTAAGGAGTGCACCAAGGAGGGAGATCTCTACACCCTCGGGTTCCGGCGGGTACCGGTTCCTGGGGGAAACAGATGAGAAGTTCCCAGTGTTTGAGGGAGCCTCCGGAGGTAGTGGCCGAGGGCATTATCACCTTCATATCTTAGCACATCGTTTGTTTGCTTCGTTTATTCTTTATGCCATCTGTTAGTGACCCCTCGATTCTAACCCCTCATTGTTTTTGTAGGTGTCAATATGGATCTCAACGCCTTCGCCAACCTCAAAAAA